TAGCGCTAAAGTACACCCGAGCGTAGAATCGCTAATCGTGCGCTCCGGCTAGGTGGGCGGACTCGATGTCCGCGCGCACCAAATTAGCCAACCAACAAACCTCCCTCCGCTTGATCGTAAAAAGGATGGAAACCATCGTAAAATCAATAATTGATTACCTGGCTGCATAGACCAGCACGCCAGCCAAATTAGCTGACCACGTCTCTTTTCTCTTTTGCTTTAGACCCTCGTAACGATTTGCAAAATACAGTAAAATGATTACCCCATTAGATTTGCCTCGCTAACTAGCCGGGTCAGTGACTTCTGTACATGCCAATTGTTGTTAGATTTGGGTATGTGGTAGTTTAATTACCACATCGTCATTACTAATAGTATTAAATTTTAGTTTTCCCCATTACTAGAAGTACAACGTGGCGTTACCATAGATTTATAATTGAGCCCAACTTGGCGTTACCATGAATTACTAGATGTACCACTTGTAGTTACCATACATGCAAAAGTGAACACAACGTGGCCACCCTCCATTCCAGAGAAATGAATAAATTACTGGAACTACTACTTTGGATTACCACATTTCATTCCCTCATAAAGGTGGACATAGTAAGCAGGTTACCATCGGTTACCACCAAATTAGAAACAAATAGAAGTGTGACCGTTGTAACGTGGTTAGTGTGTTTTACTGCATGTTACTCATGCTTTACGATCAACTGGGAAGCAACTGCACCGAGCGTGCGCGCGTTGAGTTGTTTAGAGGAGCATCGAGCGCGTGTTCTGGCCGAAGCGCAGAATAAGGAATATATATAGCTTTGCTAAAGTGAGCCTGAGCGTATTACTTTTATTCTACTAGCCGGTCAGGTACGCGCGTAACACCCAAGAAACCAGCGTGGGTGGGTTTCGTCTAATCACAAGGAAAAATTGAACCACCATAACAGACAAAAATGGATTACTATTCGTGCCTTTGCTCTAGTAATTTGGTAGCTGACCAGGGCATGCTGGACTGGACGTAAAACAACTTCGATTCCATAGTAATGATGGTAATGAAAAACACTAATTAGTGTGATCCTAACCACATGTATCATGGACTAGTAAAATCTTCTAGGAAATTACGACACACGACCATGTTTCTGCTATTGCTGTTAATTGTGGTAAAAACTACCTACACATTACTACATTCTCACTAGGAATTTACCATCCTCTCTAAGTACAACCATTTACACATGGTAATTGAAGTGGATTTTTTTCCGATGGTAACTGAAGTTGATCTATTTACTCGTAATACAGTTGCCGTAGAGTAGCAACATGCAATTCACCCGTAAAAAACAAAACTACATGCAATTCGCTCATAACACCATTACTAGAAGTGGTCATCCTCTATATAAGCAAAAAGATGGTCTGGTTTGGTGGATCGATGAACTCCTGCATGCACATAGTAAAGGTTTTACTAACAAGTGGGAAAAAGTGACTTGATTTCGCGAAGCGGGGACTGGTTTGTGCACATGGTAACCGTCTTAACTCTATTACCATATCTATCAAAAAGGTTTACGAAGAGGAGGAAAGAAAATTGCTGGTTTGGCGGCCCAGCGACCCACGCGATTTGGCCGGAGCGTAGAATTAGCATCTGCGCTCAGG